ATTCAAATTTCCAATGACACAATCTAACGATGAAGTATGATTAACAAAATTATTAATAATGTATCATAAATAAAGCACATATAGTAATCTTTAAAGTCCAGTGTTACCCATATTCATGTTTGTCAGGAACACTCAGGTATTGTGCCCCACCAAAAACAAAAATGCTCCCATCTCACATTTTGATTTTTTTCTCTTGGAGGCCTAAAACACCTAAAATTATATCAAAACTCCATATCTGTAAGAAGAAAATGAGATTTTTGCATTGTATAAATATATTAATACAATTTTCTTTAAATACATACATATGGCATAGGGAGAACAACATCACATTAAAGCAAATTAAAAACTTGCATGACAAACATTTATGCAAGTTAAACCTTATTTTCCAAGCAGTGCAGAAATTTTAAAAAGCCTCAGTCACTGTTTATTTTTATATTGTCCACGAATATTATTATTGTCACTATTATTTTAAAGATACTCTTGAAGATACTGCAATAATAGCTCTAGATAAAATACCAGTGGATTTTCAAACAAATTGGTTTTAACAATGCTCACATCAATCACATCAACATAAAATAGCTTGTTCAGTTACAAGTCTGTTATCAAATGAGTGGTCATTAATTTTGTCATAGAGCTTCTAAAGACAACAATTTTAAGCAGATTTATTTAAGCATTACTATGTGGCAATAAATAAAACATGCACAGTTAAGTAAAAACTTCATTACAACTTAAAAAATGATAATACTGGGTAAATAATTCTAAAAAGAGCATCAGTTACTACTTTGAAAACTGAACTAATGTAATTAATTATATTCTGGCTTCTCTCTGAGTGAAGATGTGTTTACGTGAAAATTTTAGAAAAACAATTGCTATCTAAATGCATAGATATCATTCTACAAATTACTAAATGTGGAAGAGAGACTTTTAATTTATTATAAAAGCAATAGAAGAGGACATTTTAAATTAGGTAAAAATCTTGAAAGTGTATTGTTTATTCATCTTTATGATTTAGCACTGTTCACTCCATCTAACAGGATTTCAAAAAGTTAAATGATATTTGGTCTTTCAAGAACAAAGGCAAATTAAGACTGTTCTAAGGATGATGATCTATAAACATAGAAAAACTTGTATAGTAATGTTCACATCAATATTGCTTGCCATGAAAGCTCATATTTAACCAATGAGAACAAGGACATTTATCTTCAAAGTTAATAATGCCTAACTAAATATAAAATTTGATTTAGATATATGAAAAATGAAGGTTCTCCTGTCCTTGGAGTTTTCTTTAAAATAATGTATTATTTTGGAATAAAGACAGTTCTCCCTTCAATCTCTCTCTAATGAAGTGGAGACTCTGATGCTAACTAAATTAGAATCCTGAAGTAGGGTTGTCCTTTTATTATTTTGTTGAACACCTTAAAGTCACATCTCAGTTGTTCTGATTTACAGTTTGAGTTGATAACATTGTAACCAACAGTAAGTTTATCATGACAAATTAAAGATTAGCCAGAGGTTACAAATAATGGAGGAATATGGATGAGAACAGAGCTTTACTTGAGAGGAGATTTTCACTAATTCTGGTACTTTTCTACAACTCCCAGGAAATTGTGTTGTTAATCTGTACTTTATTTCCTAATTGAAAGTAGATACCACATCTTTATATCATTACATTTAAAAGAGATCTTTCGTCACTTTTTATATTCTTAAGATGAATTAGGTTTAAAAGGTAGTGGAATTCTTCTTTGAGATCTTCCCCTTTAAATGAAATAAAAAAAAAATTCCCTTAAGAATATAGAGATTTGGTATTCTGATAAACTAGTGTGGAAATTCAAGTAAGAACCTTCTTTATTTTGTTTAGCAAGAAACTTTGCTTTCAATGGATAAGTGCAAAAGTGTAATAAAATGGAGGTGACTTGGTAGCATTAAGAGAAATACAACACTTTGTATTTGCCAGATTCTTTTCCAAAAGATGAAATTAATTTTTTAGTAGTGCTTTGCTATCCATAGTAATTGAAAAGTTTACTTTTAATTTTTTTGTATCACTTTTAAATACAATAATTTTGAATCAATACTGATAAGCTAAAATAGACTTTTAAATCTATTCTAATATTCCAAAAAAGCCAATGCCAACCAGGTTTTTGTTAACTTCTTTTGAATTAAGAGCAAAGAACCCAAGTCTTCCAATTAAGATGTAAATATGCTTTTTTAAACATTTTATTTAAATCCATCATTAATTTGAAATTGGATATAATTATTAGTCAGATGAAAGAGGATTAGTTAAAACTACATTTTGATGACTTGGATCTTTTGCCCGCAAGAGACACGTATATCACGTCACATCCTCTTATAACAAAAAAAAAATACATTCTATCCTCATAAATCTTTGAAACCCTTGTCTAATACTTATCTTTTTAAGGGAATAGTAAGAGGAAGATGGGGTATTTATTCTTCTGGAATATAAGATTTTTCTTTTCCTTTATTTCATCTAGTAATAAATGCACTCTGGCCATGAGTAATCATCTCTTTCCTTTGTTAAATATATCATGTTTGAAAGAATTTTATGCAACCATTTCAGCTGTATACTCATTATTACATTTACTAAGGCCAGTGAATTGGCTTGGGCAAGAGATTACCCCAGAATCGTTTTTGAAAAATGGCTGATGTTTTCTAACTGGAAGTACCTTTGAGGTAGTGAGCCTACACCTGAACTGAAAAGTATGCCACTGGACAATAGAAGTATGTGACTCCTGAGGAGGATCAGCTGTTAACAAGAGAGATTCTCTTAGAGAATCCAGCAAGTGTGCTCCCTTCTGCCAGAGGAAGGGTGGAGTGTTCTATGGAAAATTTGAGGTCCAACATGTTTCTTTCCATAGGACAAGGTTTTTTTTTTTTTTTACAAGGTTTTATTTCACACTGGACAAGGTTTTATTTATTCAATGTATTTTTGTTCTGTGGAAAGAACTAACCCTTAGTGACATGGCAATCACAGCAAAATAGCAAACAGGCTCTAACCGCTAAGTTTTAAGCTTAAGAGTTACTTGAACATAAGGACACTACAGTCAAACTCATCTTTGCCATAAAATTTTATGCATGTAGGAGACACCTTATAGATATTTGTTAAAATGAACTAAAGTTTACACTACCTTTATTGAACATTATTATAAAAAATTGAAAATCTGTTGAAAATGTTGATCATAAAAACCAAAAGCTGGATGACTTCAGTGCTCTAATGGAAGAATACCATCAATTTGACAGAGTGTGCTCCTCTACCTTTTGGAGTCTTCATATAAAAAGCACTAAAATATTTTTGGATCGAAAGTTAATATGAGTCTTTGATACTTAATGGAATTTGAACTTGGAAAAGTTAAGCTGATGATACTAAAAGAAGTGATTACATCTTCTTCTAATCTCTTTGTTATATAAAGACATGTATGACAACTGTGAGTTGATAACAGTTTTTGATTCATAAAATATTTATTTCTTTTAAATTAATAACACATTTCCCTAGCTAAAGCAGTAGGAAAGGATCATCTTCATCCATTTTGAAATTACTTTCCAAAGCACTTAATTTCCAGTTAATAAAAAGCCAGAATTCATACCCTCTGTATGTGTAAATGCTCCCATTTATGTGGTAGGACCCAAAATACCTAGTATTGGTGAACATTTTGAGATGAGAGATTTAACTGACTGCTTTACAGAGTAGAAATTTGGTAGGGAAAGACACAAAAATGGCTTTTTAAGAAAATTGTGGTTGGGAGATAGGTAATGTAATTCATTCATCACCACATCTTCAGAAGACCTCCTATAAAGACTGCTTTTCAAGGATTAAATTTGGATTTGTTTTCCATGCATGGCCTGAGTTGGGCCTTAAGGCTGTGGCTGGAAAATTTTTTTTTTCAGGTATTTAGTTGGATAGATTTTAAAGAGTAATACAGAGTGAAATAAGAAATCCTTCTTGATTATGGCATGCATAACTTATTTATCAAGTTATAACTCAGTGCAAAAGTGCTGTAATTCTTGATTATTGTTAAACCAAGAGCTTTGCAACTTCTGATGGCTTTTTTAGTGTAATGATTTACATACCTAATCTCTCTTCTTGATTGTACATTGTTTTTACATTTTTTCCCAGGTATGTCTTATATATACTATGAGATAATGAGTTGACTATAGGCTGGAAACTGACCACGTAGAAAATTTTAAAAAATGGTTCCTTCAGCTGTCTGATTTTCAAAATCTAAAAAGCCCCTCAGTAGTATAGACTAGGGAATTTAAAATAAAGCAGGTACATGACTATATATGCATATGTTAGTTATTAAAGATTATTTTTGGAGGCTTGTGATTTAGGGAAGTTACTCATTTTCTTTCTATCATTACGTTCTATGTTATGAATATTAAACAGCTTTAATTACTGAATATGTGCACTAGTAAATCTCAAACTATTTCATGTAAAATTTTCAAATCTGTGATTGGTAGGCAGTAAAGAAATAGATATACTTATTTTTTAATGTTTCTGTTTAATCTTGCATACCTTGCTCTGACCATGATGAGGTTCAAATTTACACTAAAGATTATCATGCTTACAGTTGCAAAAAATATAAATGTAATATAAATGTAAATTTTAAAGAGGATTGGGGGTAAGAGACAAAGTGAAAAGGCAGTTTTATAATACTACAGAACGATGTTTGGGAAGGAAAAAAAAGCATGAATTAACCAGATATAGAATAGGATCATTGGATTTTTGAAGAAAATAATTCTTAACAGAGAATTTAAATCTTGCAAGCACTGAATGCCCATCCCATAGAAGTTTAAATACTTTATAGAATTTATTTCATCAAAGTATACAGATGTTGCTGACAGAGTCCTATGGAAGACCATAATTATTCTATTCCTTATTTTCTAAATATGTTTTTTGTTGTATTATAAAAATAAATATATATGATTAATAAATTTAATCTGCTTTACATCTGTTCTTATTTAATATATATTTGAAGATAGGTAAATATGGAAATTTTATATTTCCTCTAAATGTATCCAGATTTGTGTAAATGTAACAAGCAAACTGCAGACAGTCTGTGAGTGATGCATGACCATGCAGGTGATGGCTGGAAAATGTTGCTAGCTATTTCTGACACACTTACTTAAAAAGTGATGGATTTCCCACTTTTTTCTTTTTTATTGTACTTTAAGGAATACTTTAAAGACTCTTCCTTCTAGCTCTCTCTGTTTCTTTTGAAATGAGAAAATTTTAGCTGTGGGAGGCAAAAATCAGAAGATAAATCAACAAAAGAAAATATGTGGAAGGGTCTAGTCTAATGGGACAATCAAAAAATCTTAAAATAGGAAAAAAAAAATCAAGACTCCTTTTATAGCAAGAAAACTACTATCACCAAAAAATGTAATTTAGGTAGGAATTTGAGGATGTGGGTAGGGCACCTTTATCTGCGAGATCAAATAAAACTTAATTTTTATATGAAATCAGCATCTTCAGACAACCTGCTCTTTTTTTTCTCTTAAGACATTCTCACTACTCTTCCACCTAGCACAGCAGTTATTTTTTTAGTTTCACAGGGAACAGCTGATTTTATAATTGAATTTGTTCATACAACATTACTGTTTTGATAAGCTGACTCAGCTTAATTCAATGAAAAGTATATTTGCCTGTTTTTGCAGCCTCCAGAAGATTATGGCAACAACACACCTTAGCTGTGTTTACATTTTTATGTCACTGTATCAAGGACTCAGGTTACACACAATTCATATATGCTCATGTGCTAGATCCGTTTATACCCTCTTTGGTGTACGCAGCGGCATACTTGTCTCTTGGAAGGTTTGGAAAACAGCTCAGCATGTTCGTGTAACTTACTTTTACAAACAAAATATAAAAATTCTTAAACTTGCAAAATGTACCAATATTAGACAGCTCGATGTGTTTATTTTCTTGGGCCACCATGTAACTATCATAAAATTCTGTTTAAATTAAAATCTTTTTACGTTTAATCTAAGGCTATAATCGTAGATCTTTTATTCAAAGCAATTCTGCTGAGAATAATTTTCTTAATGCTTTGATAATTACTCTTGCAAACTTGTGAAGATGAACCAAGGAAACAGTCATGGATTATTCCATGCTTCACTCTATTTATAGCCTTTAGAGCAATGGGCTCACTCTTGGTCTTTCCAGGGGTGATCTTCATAACACAGTAGAGAAATATACTATAGTTAGTAAAAAATTAGAGGGGAAAGCCTGCCTCTAAACTACCACCTACTACGAAATATGTAGGACACTATAAAGTTAATTTTAAAAAATGACAAACCAAGACTTAAGAAGTTTTAAAAGCACAGTATGTTTCTCCCTCACCCTCCCTGATAACTTCCTTCTCACCCCAGTCACACTTGACAAGAATTCACTACATGAAATCATTGGTCTTTTCTGCAAATAATTCTAACAACATCAGGCTTCGACAGGTAAAGTATTGTAGGATAGAGTTAACGATATGACCCACAGAGTTGAATATAATTATCTAAAAAATAAATATTCATGTCAGTTTGGAAGCTACTCGATCACAAAACATGAAAGCAAGGTCAACTCTTTCTTTTTAATCTACCATCAAACTCTAAATACATCATTAACCCCAAATTCCTTTGGGTTAAGTCCTTGAACACTTCCGAAATACAATTATACAAAGTTACACATCCATGCTGAGTTATTTACCATTGTGTAATGATAATCTGCAGTGGGCCAGGGTTTTATTTGCAGGTTATTCAGAGAGGAGCTATGATGAGTGATTTTTAAGTCCAGGTTGGAAGCATAAACAAAGGGTGTGTGCCCGTAGTCTGACAGGAGACTGCAGTTTGTGAAGTGATGTTTGGAGAATCAGAAGAGAGGGTAGTAGAGAGGATATCTTTCATTTTAGAAATGCTGAGGCACAAAACACAGGTGCTTGTAGTACTTTCATACATGAAATCCCTTCTCCTGTATGTGCATCATGTGTAAACGTAAAGTCTGTATACTGCTGACTATTCGTCTCTGGTGTCCAATGAGTATGACTCCAATTCTTCTAATATCACTGTGAGAGATTGAGAGAGAGAGAGAATATGAACATTTAGATCTGGTAAGTATGACAGAGAGGAAATGAACATTTAGATATGGTAAATGTGCCCCATGTCAGATTTGCCAAAAATTGTATACCTGGTAAAATGAGAGTTTAAGCAGAGATATAAATGAACAACAGGAGTTCGTTACCTTTTTCTTTACCCTGGTGCCAGAGAATGCGTCAGGTCAACCTCAGATTTAAGGGTACAAAGAATTCAGGTACCGATGTAATGTTCAGATATTTCATAAGCCCAAGGGTTTTATGTAATTATATAAATTTTCAACAGTATTAGCAAAATAGCATGTAGGATAGAAAGTATAATGTGGACTCCATTTTAATTGTCATGGTCTTTCAATAATCTGAAAAAATGCCATTATATTATGTTGAACAGTATGAAATTACCATTACTATTTTACAACAATGGCAATTTCATATGGCTTCACCTACTAGTTTCAGTATCTTTCTTTTAAGCACATGTTGAGCATTTTCACTGCACCCATGAAAGGATAGCATTTGAGAAAGTGGAAAAATGCTGGACCATTATAACATAGAGAAAAAGCTCTGAGATAACATAATATTGTATTATTACAATTATTACATTTGATGAAGGTAATAGGAATTGATTTAGTATACATGAGTCAAAATAATTTGCTAAGGTAAAACTATGTTGATGTAAAGTCTATGATGTGAACAAGAGGAATATGCATTTTAGAAAGCATTTAAAATTTTAAATAGTTTTTTGAATTAAATATATTCTTTCAAAGGAAAATAGTTAAAGTGTAATGTCCAACTGTCACTAGAATGATCGACAGAAATGGTGAGGAAAGATGTGGAAACACCATCCTAGTATTAGGGAAGGTAGTTTGACCATGGTGTTCTTGATATAGTATTTGAATTTAAAATCTCCTGAGTGGAGCATCTAAATATAGTAATAAACATAGCACCACTTACTCAATGCTCATTCTTGAAATGAGGTCAAAAGTTGTAAACCCTGCTGCCATGAAGTTATTCTTATATTGCCCCATCTTTATAGAATCCAGCCAGTCACCGACCGTCACAAACAAAGGATATTCGGGAACTTCACCAGGGGAGTCTGGCATTCTGCAAGGAAAAAACAAACAAACAAGCATGGAGACCATTTAAAAGCAAGATAAAGCAAAAAACACCCAACTTATTTTTAAATTTTACAGTATTCTTACATCAAATGTTTTCATCCTCCATAGAAAACTAGAGATTTAAAATTTTTCCATCATATTCAAATCAGCCACTTATACCTGGTCAGTTTCACTTGTCAGTTTCTTTTGTCTTTTCCTGCTTTTTGCCACTACTAGGTCTTATACTTGATGTATCTTGAGAAAACCCACATCTTGCTAACTTCTGTTTACTTTTTTCTCTTGCATGAAATTCTGTTTTCAAATTTGAGGAATACCCCCAAAGAAAGTAACTAGCCACAGGCTATTCACTCATACGCTTTCTGACCTGCCACTGAATCTATGCCCTTTGGCCTTTTTCACATTTTTTTTTAAAAAATTTATTTATTTTTGGCTCCGTTGGGTCTTCATTGCTGCGCGCAGACTTTCTCTAGTTGCGGCGAGTGGGGGCTACTCTTCGTTGCAGTGCGTGGGCTTCTCATTGTGGTGGCTTCTCTTGTTGAGAAGCACAGGCTCTAGGTGGGCGGGCTTCAGTAATTGCAGCAAGTGAGCTCTAGAGCGCAGGCTCAGTAGTCGTGGCGCACAGGCTTAGTTGCTTTGCGGCATGTGGGATCTTCCTGGACCAGGGATCGAACCCATGTCCCCTGCATTGGCAGGCAGATTCTTAACCACTGTGCCACCAGGGACGTCCCCTTTTTCACATTTGCTATGATAGCCCCTTCTTTTTTTTATGATGAATTCATTGATCAAGTCTCCATTTATTTGTCCTCAAACATTCAACAAGAATTTATTATTAAAAAGTAATTTCTGTTGTCATAGACCTCAACTGCATGAATAAGATTTACATACATCCAAGTATAGGGTAATACAGCCCAAAGCACAGATATTAATAAAGTACAAAACTAAAGCAAAATCAATGCAAGCTTGGGTTAACAAGAAAAAGGAATCTGTCATTGATGGATCTTAAAGTAAGTGATACAGAAATCTGTATTTCTGTTTCTAAGATCTGATGCAGAAGGGCATTCCAGTTGGAGATATTTTTGTAGTTTTAATATAAAAATAATATAAAGGTATTATTTTGAAAAGGCTAGTAAATGTGTGAATACATAGATATAGATACCTATAGGTATATCACCAGGACTCGGGTCTTTAGGAGCACAAAAGCCAGAGATGTGCATAATACATGGGGATACAAGTTGTACGCTGTATGACTCCTGAAGACCCTGAAAGATGCCCCTTGGAATTATTTAGGACAAAGTCCCTACTAAAGACCTAAAATTCATTTCTTTGGTTTTTCTTTGATTCTACATTGACTTCTACTTTTCTAAACTGAATTCTAGTTGAAGGTGGACAGGGGGGTGAAGAAGGATGACAGGGAAATCCAGGGATTATTCCTCTTTCTATATAATTGAAATTTGCATAAACTAAATGCATGTATCTTGTGATTATTCTGTAGTCCGTATGGAGTCTGGTTACTCTTCACAGTGACTTGTGTTCTTTTTACCACTACTCAATTCTGTTACCATATTTCCTATTTTGGAGGCTGTAAAGCCACATTTTATTTTCCTGTACTAAAAACTGCAATGCTATTTGATTATGGGCTATTTCATTCTAATTAATATCAGAATGATTCATGATTTGACCCTAAACAAAGTTTAGTTATGTTAAAGGTTGAAAAGCTATCATGGCATCTACCAATAAACACTTTAACGGTTGCTATATTTCTTAGTTTCCTAGAGTTGTTTATATTAATAAGAATTATCAAATAAATAAAAGTTCATATATCAATAAAAACAAAAAAGTTCTCCATGGCAAACAGAGTTAAACAGGGTTTTTAATTATGGCGTTTTTTAGAGCCTTCGCTATCCTAATGTGCAGTATGAATACATAAGAGGATTCAAAATAGCTTCTGCAGTTTTTTCCTAAATTATCTGAACAGTTTCCTACAGAACACACTTCAGGAAATAGTCCTATAGTAAGTTCACTGACCAAGTTTAAATATCAAAATGCCCAGGGTATCTTTATTGCTTATCAACATAAATAAAACAATATACGTTAGGAAGCTGAATGTCCTATTTCAAAACACTGTGGCTCTCATGTCTTTTAATTACTTGTCTGAGAAATCTGTTGAAACTGAACCAGACTAAAAGGATGTGTTTAGGTGACTTTCCCTTCATACTCCTATGCCATTCTTGATGCACAGACATAGTCAAACGACTTCCACTTCTCTCTCCTGAGATAATGCTGGAATAACTCTTGAGATTTCACAATTCATATAACTGGTGAGTGGAAATGTAATTTGCTAATTTTATGTCCTTAGTATAGAAAGGTCGTGGAAGGACATTCTGTATACTAAATGACTTAAATGGCCTATTTCTCTGTTGAAAAGCATCCACTACTTGCTCCTAGAATGTTTCAATACCATAATTCCCTTTCTCTCCATACATCTTTAGTAACCTAGTTACACTTTGGCCTTTATGCGACCGCACTGACGGTGGATTTAGGAAGGTCAGCGTTCCCTCATTGTTCACAGCCACTGTGCAATAACTTTTCTTTCACCTTATAACGAAGTTGGAAAATGCTGCTATTTTCTGGCTTTGAGGGTGCCATCACCCTCACATGAATTCTCTGGAATATTACCTAATAAACAATAAGCGCCCTTTCTTATCAACCATGTGCAATGATAAATTCAGTCTGCTATTTGCTGAGCATGTAGAAATTTCTGCTATTTGGTGACTTCTCACCTGAGAAATGTCTTTACAGCAAAACCTCACAGAAAAAATGTACATATTGTAGAACAGAAGGTCAAAGGTCTACTACCTTCCTCAGAAAAATGAGGAGGCGGTAGAATTAGGAAATTCTTCCAGTTATAAATTATGGTCAATTAAGATTAGGAAAAGGGCTGCAGTATAGCTAGAATAGGTAATAGTATAGTTTAAGGTGCAATAAACACATACTCTCAATATATCTAAATATGTGAAAATGAATAGCACTGATAGAGCCAAGAAGTCTTGATTCTAATGAGCCCTTTGAGTTCATAATAGTACTAGTACTTTAATTTAGAAAGTTCTTAGGTTACCAGTAGGTATTAAAACTGCCATTATAAAGCAGGAAGGTTTTTATCCTCAAAAGTTTTCCATATTTTATATTCATCATGTAAATATAAAAGTAAGAGACCTATTAAAAATGATTCAAGAAAAGTTATACTTTGAGAAACACTATTCCAAGGTAGGATCTTGTTTTGTTTTGTTTTTTTAATTTTTATTTATTTATGGATCTTTTTTTTTAACATCTTTATTGGAGTATAATTGCTTTACAATGGTGTGTTAGTTTCTGCTTTATAACAAAGTGAATCAGTTATACATATACATATGTTCCTATATCTCTTCCCTCTTGCGTCTCCCTCCCTCCCACCCTCCCTTTCCCACCCATCTAGGCGGTGACAAAACACCGAGCTGATCTCCCTGTGCTATGCGGCTGCTTTCCACTAGCTATCTACCTTACGTTTGGTACTGTATATATGTCTATGCCACTCTCTCACTTTGTCACAGCTTACCCTTCCCCCTCCCCATATCCTCAAGTCCATTCTCAAAGGAGACAAGAATATACAGTGGAGAAAAGATAGCCTCTTCAATAAGTGGTGCTGGGAAAACTGGACAGGTACATGTAAAAGAATGAAATTAGAACACTCCCTAACACCATGCATAAAAATAAACTCAAAATGGATTAAAGACCTAAATGTAAGGCCAGACACTATCAAACTCTTAGAGGAAAACATAGGCAGAACACTCTATGACATAAATCACAGCAAGACCCTTTTTGACTCACCTCCTAGAGAAATGGAAATAAAAACAAAAATAAACAAGTGGGACCTAATGAAACTTGAAAGCTTTTGCACAGCAAAGGAAACCATAAACAAGACGAAAAGACAACCCTCAGAATGGGAGAAAATATTTGCAAAGGAAGCAACTGACAAAGGATTAATCTCCAAAATTTACAAGCAGCTCATGCAGCTCAATAACAAAAAAATAAACAACCCAATCCAAAAATGGGCAGAAGACCTAAATAGACATTTAGTTATTTTTTGTCAGCCTCTTATTTTCAGTAAGTCTTCAGGATTTTTATTGACATGATTATTTAATTCTCATAATAAGGCTGACAATTGGTAAAAAGTGTGAAGGAGTGAAATTCAAAGCAAATTTAAAAATTATAGATGTGTTTAAACATTAGGAAGGATAGATACAGGGTAGGAATAATACTGTTTAAGTATTCCCTACATTCTGAGTAGAGTTCTTAGCACATGGTCACTATAGTCAGAGTAACAGATCACTGAACCTCAGGAAAGCCTATTTTATGTGGGTAAATTATACAGGGACAGAAATAGATTTCATATCACGCGCCAACTACAATTCATTGCCAGTAGTTATCAAAATGTGGTCTTAAAAAGATACAGAGGCAGCATGTGGGCTCAGTGAGAAGGAGTGCTGTGATGGTTAGTAATGTCGGCCATAACAAGGAAAAGAAGCAAAGCATACATTTGCCAACACTGGAAAAATTCAAACTACAAAAGTGCTTGAGGACGTAAATGTGAAACTATGTTGCTGCCATAGTTTCCTCATTTCTTTATTTTGTTGTAGTTACTACTTTCTTTTTTCAAGTAATGTTCTTCAAGTGGCCAAGCATTGTAGGAGAAAGTTGGGGGAATATACAGATTATGTGTTTGATTCTTATTCCCATGAATGAGGGCATACTCATTTTCTACATCCTTGTATTTGCTTAGCAGGACATAAAATAACAGGCTGTGCTCTGCTACAAATTCTTTTTGGAATTTTAATATACTCCATTGATGAAGTCTGATAAGTCCAGAGAAAATCTATCTGGAGATGTAAAAACGTATCCTCTTTTCCTATAATCATAAACAGTGCGGTGATTGTATACTGTGTAGTGGAAAGAACAAGGACTTTGCAGTTGGTGGACCTCATTCAAATTCCTGATCTAGTAATTACTTGCTGTGTACCCCTGGGAAATTTAGCCTCTTTGAGTCTCTGTTTCCTTACATGAGGGATGGAGATAATAACAGTGAGGATTACATGACATGACAGATAAAAGTGCCTAGTACAATGACTGGCACATAGTAGGCTCTTAACAAATAGCAGTAATAGTTATTATTGATAATGATTAATAGAACTTGTATCAATATTAGTACTGGTATTAACATTAGTAGTAGTATATTGTGGCAACAGTTCATGTGAATTGAATTTAGATTTTCTAACAGGTAGAAGTTTCACACTTCCTGATTAATACTTAATATTCTGTCTTCCTTCCGCAAAGCTTTGCTTATCACTCAATTACAACACTAGTTTTGGCCAGCCAGTTATTTCTCTGTCAGGAAAAAACCCATTAAGGCTGTTAGTTACAAAAATTAAACAGAACAAGTTGTCCATGACTTGGTTTATAGAGATAAACAATTTAGTAAGTGATGATTACGGACAGCCTAGGCAGCACTTAGCAAGATGTTTTCAAAATGAATAGAAACATTTCTAACAAACTGTTGAAAGTTATTGCCCTCAGGAGACAGCATTGCAGGTGCTTTATTAATGGGATGGAGGGAGGTAGTAGCATTCAGTCTTATAATGTTTACTTGCAGTTCTCCAAAGCAGTTGATACTGGTTTGAGCTTTTCCTTACCTTCATGATTCACATATTACCAGAAGCCAAGGGCTTGAAAAGTTCAACAGTTAATTTATACGTACTAAGGAAAGTGGTGGTTCCAGTTCCTAAGAGCTAAAATATTTTAAGATCCTTAATTATGGCCTAGCAGGTAGTGAGAATATTCCTATGTGCCTTGGCCTGGGTGGAATATGATTTCTGTTATGGACTGGTCCATCTGGTCAATTGTTGCCTGTTTTTGAATGCTACCTTTTAGCTGATGTTGTCGAGGAGCCCATAATCTATAAAATTCTTATCAGTGACATGCTGGGCATCTGGAGCAGGATTGGAAGAAAGAGTTATTTTCCTATTACACTGCAGCGTTGTCCAAAAGGCACTGTCCAGCTGATTTCAGCCTAGTGCACTCAGTAGGCTACGGTGTATGGAAGAAACAGGGGTGGGGGTTAAGAGGTTGGAGGGTGAGTGTACAGGACGATGTAGGTAGGGTGGGGAAGGTAGGGCTGGGTGAAGGGACAGCCATATAGTCATCAATCTACTTTGTGCTATTAAACTACCGAGCCCCAGATGTGACTCTGGATTCCACAGCAATATGCATGCCTCTGGGTTAATCCTGAGGGTCAGGGAAAGGGAGAAGAGGTGTTTCAAAGGGTGTGGCCAGGCAACGCTCCTGATGTCGTTCTCCATGTAGCCTTGGTCTCAAGCTGGGCCATTTTTCCAGGGGCTGTGACAGCTACAGATATTTCTTTGAAAGGGGGTTATAAGGCATCATTGTACTGTAAATGAAAATGAAGGTAGTTTGAAATTCATGCATGAAAGGATGGCTGCCTATATTACTAAGGTACTTTCTCAAATTATTTTTTTACAATCAATTGGATTTAAGGTTGTACTTAGATCGTTACATTCACTTATATATCCATATGCTTTCTTGAGTAGCAGAGAAAGCAAGAAGGTTGGGGACTTCACAGAGCTCTGAATACTCCCATGGGAGTGTGTCAGGCACAAGAATGTCAGCATTATTTGGAGTGGTTGTTCTAAATTATAAAAGCCTTCTCTGACCAACAATTTTTTTTTCTACTGGGTATTCTGTCCTTTGAAAGAAAAATTACAGATATAAGGTCTATGAAATTTCCAATATGCTGGTATAAAATGATGAAGCTGTGGGTTTCTCAGCTTTCCTCTCCCCTCTTTGTCACCTGAATTTCTTCCCCTCTTACTACTCTGTCAAGAGAAGGGATAAAACCTTCTCAGGTGAATTCTTGAGAAAAAAAGCAATTAGAGTGGAATAAAAACCATGGGGACCTAGTGGGTGAGAGAGTTATGTCAGTATAGGAGTGTGAGAGAACTTTGGGAGTTTGGGGATATTAGAGAAAAGGAGCGTACAGGAGAGTTTAATAAGAGCTGCTGTGAATTATACTCTTAGACTCCTTTACCTGCTTGAGAGATACATGGGAGGAAAGACTACAATTCTATACCCCATCATGTTTCCTTAGTCCAACATCACTCTGGGACAAGTGACTAGGCTTTGGAATTTGGGGGCTGGAGTGGCAATGTCACAGTTTTGTAAGCATAAAACAAACCAGGCATTCTGTAGCTAACATTGCCATCCTTCAATCTACCACATCTCTTCTCCCTAAACGGTCTCAGTGCTCTGGGATCAGGGTAGGTGGGTGGCATTGGGGGTGAGGGGGTGGACAAGGGAAACCCACACAGGCTGCTTTGAAAACAAGAATACTGATAAAGGTTCAGGCACGATACCCTTAGAACTCTGGTTCCTTTTGTTTCCCAAATAAGAGTATATTAAGGGTAGCACATATGTCTTTGTCAGAAACAAGGATGGCAGATCAGTCACAAAAACTTCCATTTGGTCCCCCAGAGATTAGACTTTTTTTTTTTAAGATTTTTTTTTTAATGTGGACCATTTTTAAAGTCTTTACTGAATTTATTACAATATTGCTTCTGTTTTATGTTTTGGTTTTTTGGCCATGAGGCATGTAGGATCTTAGCTCCCCAACCAGGGATCAAACCCACACCCCCTGCATTGGAAGGCGAAGTCTTTAACCACTGGACCACCAGGGAAGTCCCAGAGATAGACTTTAGAATTGAATCAAACTGCCAACTTTATATAAAGCCCAACTCCTGGCCCACGTGTGGCAGCACCATCGCGGAGCCTGCCTTTCTCTGGCCTGTCCACTGGATTATTGCCCACACAGTTAAAGCATAACTTCTGGCCCTCAGTCACCAGACCTCATACTGACTTTACCTCTGGTTCATTTGGACTTTTTGATATTTTCTCATCTTAAATTCTTTATCATTATTTTCCAAATATGAGGAAGATTCATTATCTTGAAAAAGCAGGGAAAAAATTGTTTTATCTGCTTTTCTTCAAAAAGAAGGCTCTTACCTGCCTGCGTCTACAGCCATAGAACAGTCAGAGAGCTCTGTTGACGGGCACTGGCTGTGGAGTCCGTTGACCCTAAACCACAAGAGGCCCAGATTAAATGATTTCAGACTCACTCCATGATCCCTTTCTAGTAGTTCTTTCTCTTCATTATTAAAGCATGCTCATGTCTTCAATAAAACATATAAAAACAAAACACAAGAAACATTTTCTCTAACCACTTCTCTTTCTTTTCAGATACAGATTTTTTGAGAAAACAGTACTGGACTTGGTACTTTGTATAGCGCCTCTCTCTGACCTCACATTCACTCCTCCCCCACTGAGTTTGTCTTACATGATGCTAGTGAAAATGCTCTTGCAAAGGCCGCCCATGAAACCTAAACACATAGTTGCTAAATCCAATGGACACACTTCATTTTTATCTTAAGGGAGCTTCATAAAGCCTTGGACATTAAACTCCTTGGAACTGTCTCCTTTTTTTGGCTTCTAGGATACTGTGCTTTCCCTGTTTTCCTGATTATCTGTCTGGCTCTCCTTTCTCAGTCTCCTTTGGGTACACTTCTTCAATTCATTTCTTAAATCTTGGTGTTCCAAAGGTTTGCATTCTTTTCCTATTTCTTTTCATTCTTTATATTCTCCATGGGTTATCTTAACTATGCTTAAAGCTTCAGGTACAATCTATATGCTGATGATCTCCAAATCTACATCTTTAGCCCAGATCTTTTTAACTGAGTTCAACCTATATAAATATAAGTGCCTGCTGGATATCTTCACTTAGATGTCCCACAGGAATCTTCCACTCAATATGCACGAAATGGTCTCATTTCTATTCCAAAAACTTGTCCTTCTCCCTCTCTCTCAGTGGTAATACCACCAACCAACTTGTCTAAGAAAGAAACCTGACAAATATCTTGATTCTTTTCTCCTCCTTCCTTGTTCACTCAATGACCAAGACACATTCGTTTTCCTTATCTAGTAATAAATCCATTTTCTTATCTCCTGACTCAACTTATTCTCATTTCATAAGTCAGGCCCTGACCTTTCCTAGCTTGGATTGCTGAAAACATATAACTCTCTCTGTTTCCCATCTTGCTCCTTGCTTTACACTTTTAGTTTAAATCAGCCCTAGAGTGATCTTTCAGAAATGCAAATGGGATCATGCCATTCTCTTGCTTAAAATTCTTCAATGGCTGCCCATTGCTTTTATGATAAAATTCAAAATGGCCCCCACGCCCACTCTCACCATTACAGCCTCCTGTGCTGGACTGCTTTAGGGAAGACGGGCTAGAATAATAGTTTAATCTCTAGCTATTTCATGCTTGGCTTCACTTTACTGAGGCTGCCAATTAGTGATCTAGAGGTGAACTCTTCTATGCTCTGCTATGAACTGAGGTCTGTTTCAAGTAGTTCTTGAAGAGCCTTTGGCTTTATTGTCACTAAAACCTGCACTGACTTGAACTTGTGACTTAAAGTTGAACATCTGTATATCCTATTGGCCATCTCCTGAGTCAGGAAAGTAAGCTTTGAAAACGCTTTGGTTATTTTTAAGTCCAATTTGGCCTAAAGAAATCTATTTTCAACTTAACAATATTTTAAATGTTATATGTTCAGACATAGATGGCAGTGTTTTTTTTTCTTCTACTCTCCCTCTTATAATTGCTTTTCAGAGAGAAGTGGGTAGATCTCTCAACGCTACTGACTTTTATAAAATGGTGGATGAGTGCTTTCATTTTCTCATCTTGTCATCCGTCTTTTTCTGGTTTTAGCAATGGAAGGTAACAACAGCTGGGTGTGATCATATCAGCAGGAGACATCCTTGCTCCTGGCTGATTCACAAATTGCCCCTGTCTTGCTTTCCATTTCAAAGAGAGGAATATAGAATGGGCAAGAAAATTAAAGGGGCTGCACACACACACACACACACACACACACACACACACACACACACATAAGATTTTCTTATTATAAAGGTAAGAAGAAAATCAGTAAGTCAAGAAAGGAATTAGAAATACCATAGACCCACACAGGAAAAAATATTTAAAAAGTGATTCAGAAAGATTAGATATGGACAAAAGGAAAGGGGAACTTGTTTTCTTGTGGAAAAAAAATCATTTTTTAAATGTTAATAAACTGCTTTTTCAGCTGATAAATAAAATATGGTTTATACAGAATATTCTAAAAGGTAGACAACTAGACAGTTATCAAGGCAAACTTTCTCCTCTTTACCTGTTAGTCTTGTCTACAGCCTGAAAGAAATTATGATTGTCAAGGGGAAAAATCAACATTATGCATCTTACACAAGGATGTCCTCTACCAGGGTGTGAAGGGCACTGGGATTGCGGATCAGCTTGTCAAGGAAGCTGACAATGTCAGTAAATTTTGGTCTGTGACTTCTCTCCTTCTGCCAGCAATGGAGCATCAGCTGGTGTAGAGATGCTGGACAGCCCATGGGAGCCGGAAGTCTGTAACCTTCTTCAATGGACAGAATGACCTAAATGCAAACATACACAGGTTATTCTCTTACTTTTGGGTACAAGTAATACATATGCTAAGTTATAATTCCTTTTATAGAGGAAGTGGAAGCCAAAACATTGGTAAGCATGAAAACTACTTGTGAGTACATGTGGTCCAGACGAGGATAAATCCGAAAGTTGTGAACAAGAATTGCAAGTATCTTCGTAGCATCTGCTGACCCCCCTTGAGAGGAAAAATATGTTTTTAAAATTTGTGGTATACATATGGGAGGTTAAATTTCATCCCAATGTCCAGAAATAGTTTTTGTGTGATTTAGCTGGAATGCCTCAAAACCCAATTAGGACATCAGAAATTTAGTCTAAGATTGATGCATTTAATACAAACCACATGTAACAAATGTTTTAAGTAAAACTGTACTTCTGCAGAAGCACTGAATTCCTGATTCGTTTTTTATCCCTTTATAATAACGTCAGTGAGCATTCTTTTTGTAGCCATCCTTCCTTCTTTCTTCTTTACTGTCTAGTTAATTCTTTATTTTATTTATTTGGTTGCACCGGGTCTTAGTTGCAGCAGGCGGGCTCCTTAGTTGCGGCATGTGGGCTCCTTAGTTGTGGCATGCGAACTCTTAGTTGTGACATGCATGTGGGATCTAGTTCCCTGACCAGGGATCGAACCCAGGCCCCCTGCATCGGGAGTACAGAGTCTTAACCACTGTGCCACCAGGGAAGTCCCTGCCTCTTTAATTCTTCTTCACTTACTTCTGTCTTTCCCTTAGTCTGACACTGACGTGATTATGAAGTCCTTTCAGAACTTCTAAGGTCATTTAATCTTTGAAATGCTATCAGTGCCCAGCTTAAGGCCACAGAGCAACAGGACAATCAGCCTGAGTATCCTCTGGGCCAGTACTCTCCAATAGAACTTTCCATGATGACGGAAATGTTCTCTCTGTCCAACATGGTGGCAAGTAGTCACATGTGGCTATTGAGCATTTGAAATGTGGCTAGTAAGTCTGAGGAACTGAATTTTTAGTTTTAGTTTAATTAATTGACATTAAATTTTAAATAGCCACATGTGGCAAGTGGCTACTCTATAGGACAGTGTAGCTTTAGGGACAGGATAAGAAGCCAAAGTTAACTTTGGCTGTATAAGATAAGCCATAATTGTATTATTATTATTTTTATTGTACTTAGGAAATCACATATAAGATAAGGTAAGATATTTATCTATTTCTCTGTTTAATATACTACCCACTGGGGATTTCCTAACAATGCAATAATGTTGACCTGGAATTTATGTAGCTTATTTTTTAATAAAGTGTTCAAAGGTATTCACGTGACTATTCTTACATTGTCTCTGGGATAAAGACAAAGGAAAGGGTTTATTTACCCCCTTCTTTTTTTTTTTTTTTTTAACATTTGTCTGCTTTTATTTTAAGAAGGCAAGGAAGTATGTAAAGCAGTTTTCAAAATTCCCCAATTGTTAAAATTTAACAAAACAGTTAAAAAGAAAAACTTTGCATAGTGAAGGCACTGAACTGGAACCACATTTGTATAGATTAGGTGGTTCTCTGGGAGGGTTTTTAAAGGATTGTTGCTCAGGATTTGCCTAAAGCAGGGCAGGCTCTCTGAAATCCACAGCCCCCCCTCTCTAAAATGCCACCTTGTGAGGAAAAATGAAAGTCTTTTAAAAGGTGCATCTTATGGTCCTGTGTAGGCATCTTCCCCCGCCCCTCAAAATGGAGGTGTCTGGTGGGCTAGGACCCAAGCTTTTCCGTTGATATTTCCCCCATTTTTGATGTGGGAAAATTGAGGGACAGACGAATACTTAAAGACAGAAACCATACAAGCTTACCTCTTCCCTGTGCCAACAACAGAAATACAAAAATGTAAGTATAAATATTGTTATCAGTGCTCTCTTTATTGTACCACCATCTACACATTTTCATTTTCTATAATAATAATAAAAAAATCTCCTTTTAATTTCTTTTTTAATTGACACTATTTGAAATGACTCTAAAATATCTATAATTTATGCTAGAGGCAGTCTGTAAAAAGAAGCAAAAATATGCCTTCAGGAACCTCTTAACTGCTAAGCTTTAGCTTTTTTAGTAATAGGGAATGTCTCATAATCCCATCTGTATCTTTGTGACCAAAACACTTTAACCTGTCAGGATACTAGCTTTTTTCCTGTTCATTTTATATTCCATTATTGAATAGGATTTTTTCTTATCTGTTTTCTGACTACTTTTGCTACCAATTAGGCTTGAATTTTAAGACATTTTGCAACACATTTTAGTAAAACAGGATGTGTATAAAAATGCTTATAATGCATCAAAACTACTGTGGATAGTTTTGAAAAGTAACTAAGAAAAATAGGATAGAACTCCATTATAGAAAGACTTTAAAATCCCACCCCAGGAGAGCTCTCTAGTCGGTTTCACAGTTACCTAAATTGTAAGTGCATAGAATAAAATGGATGACAAGTGAAGTTATAGTCTGAGAAAAAAATTAGCTGCCTTTATTGAGCATCATGTGCTAGATGCTTCGCATAGTTTTCTTCATTTACTGCTTAAAATAACTCAATATGGTAGTTATTATTATACCTATTTTTAAATGAGAAAATTTAGACTCAGAGGTGTTAGGAAACTTGCCTAAATTCACACAGCATAGGTGGCAGAGCTGAAATTTGAACTTTGTTTCTTTTAGCTTCCAAACATTTCCTCTGGCCATTCCCCAGGAATGCTTTTCAGTTCTCATGATAACATCTTCCTCTCCAATTTTATATCAACTGATGTAATTTTAGGAGTGATGATTACCATTTTATCTATTGTTATACATCTGCTAATTGGGCTTCAATGTTTTTACTTGGATCCTAAGCTTTATATTCTGGGTAAATCAAAAACATATTTACTTCATAGTTTGCAAAATGTAATCTCTGGCTGAACAGAGTAATTTCTGAGTGCATCTGAGTCCTGCACACATTTCTATTATTGCATCTGTTACATTGTATTATAATATTTGATCTGCTTCCTCTCAGGCTAAACATACATAAAAGAAGGAATTATGTCCCTATATTTTGTATTCTCATCCCTTAGTATGGTGCCTGATACATTAATAAATGTTATTGACAAAAACAAAAGCTATTAGAAGAAATTTTGGGATTTGTCTTGATAGAGAGCAGACTCTTAGAAAACCTGGAGTCTCAAGCTACCCAAGATGGATTCAAAGCAGAAGCATGACAGCATTTGAAGCACCTCAGAAGGAAATATTAATAAAAAACTGGGGCATCAAGTAGTATTGTTCAAAATGATATAATTTCTCCCTGGTTTGGCTAGACAATGGCCAGGTGAGATTGGGCCTTGCTCTTGTCTAAGACAGAGGGCACTGGACCCAATGTCAGCTTCCTGTAAAGACTGGTGGTTTCTTACTCCTGTCCAGAAGGTTTACTATTTCCCATTGACCCAAACGTCCTTAGCTGCTGGGGAGCTGACTTTTCCAGACAACTCCTGTAAACAGCTGACACTCACATCTAGCCTGCTTGGTGTCAAGCAGGCTGTTTACTCTCTTTTGACAAAGTTGCTCTCATGATTGGCCTGTAAGGAGACAGAGTGACAAGAAAGTGTGGTCCTTCACCTGGAACCTTTATCCATAATGTGTTCAGCAATGTGTCTGGTCCCAGAATGCCTTTCTGTGGGGAGAATGAGAGGTTCAGGGACTCATGACATTGCTTCTTGCTGACCTCTGGCTTTAAATCTTCCTCTGTTCTTTAACTTGTGACTTTGTGAAATATGTCCTGAGCCCTGGTTCATGACAGATGTCAAACCTGAAGTTCCCACCTTATAGGAAAATATTAATAACAACAGTAACAACAGTGACAATAATAATAACAGCTAACAATTACTGAAAGCTCTTGGAAACTTCCATGTGCCATTTCTAAATGATTTACATGCATCAACTCTTTTAATCCTTACAGTAATACTATGAGGTAGGTACTATTGTTATCCTCATTTTACAGACAAGGAATTTAAACACAGAGAGGTTTAATTTGTTGAAGATCACACACGTAAAAATTCTGGTTTTGAAGGTAGCTAGAGAAGAGTTTTAAGCAATATGATTCACGAAGATGGTTAAAAGATACAACAGCTTTCTAATGGATTTTTAATTTATTTATCCAAACATATATATTAATCACTTAAAATATACTATTGAGCATACCGTGTATAAGGGATAACATGATGAGTAAGAAATATTTCTGTCTTTAGGAAATGTATAATCTAGCGAAGGTGACCAAGGAGTCTGAATATGGTAAGTGCCATGTGGAACAGGGAGTTATGGAAGCTTTTCAGAGGAGCACCTAACCCAGCCTTGGGGAGCCTTCTCAGAGGAGGTGAACTGAATGTAGAGGGTAGCAGGGTCGACTAGACTAGATGGGTCCAAGAGAGGAGATGTGACCTGATCAGGGAATGAAAGTAGATTTCTGCAGCTAGAATAGAGTCTTCAAAGAGAGGAATGGTGAGATTTGAGGCTCAAAGGTTAAGTAAAAACTATATTTCTTGAGATCATGAATGATTTTACATGCTATAAATACAGACTTTATGCAAAGGGTTTTAGCAAGTAAATGACATTAGATTTATCTTTTGGAAGCTCACTCTGGCTGCAATGTGAAGAGTGCATCGGAGGGCGTGGGAAGCCTGAAGGAGGCTTGCAGTGATCCAGGAGAGAGGTCAGGATGGTCTTAGTGAAAGCAGTGGACGTGGGGTACAAGAAATAGACTGATCTGACAGGAATGCGGGATTAGGGTGAAATTGGGTATGGAAGTAGAGGGAGAAGAGAAGAATGACTTCTAGGTTTTTGGCTTGGTCAACTAGTAAAGATAGAAGACAAAGGAGGAGGAGCAATTTTGGGGCTGGAGTGACCATGAGTTAAATTTTCTGTGATCTTTCTGGCTTCGGATTCAAGTAACATATAAAAATTTGAGAGCTTATTATATGTCAATTTCCGGGCTAGGTGTTTTAAC